TCCTATTCCCGTGAATGATTGTTGGACTGCTTTCAATTGGGTAGGAACCTACGGGCCAAGACCTTGAATGAGAACCAAGTGCTGACAAGGTAACGTCTAGATTCGCTCCCACAAAGCGACTGAGTTCAATCTAGACCCAGATAGGTTCGCAGTGGGCGGCGCGTCAGCTGGAGGCCAGCTTTCGGCCGTCATCAGCCATCTCTGCCGTGATGCAAACATTCCTCTGCGCTTGCAAGTCTTGACCGTGCCAGTGACAGATTTGCACCGTGTCTTCACTCCCGAAGGCGAGTTTGACCGCGAGGGTTGTCCCTACGACTCATACCGGGAGATGGAGTTTGCGCCAGCGCTACCAGCGGCGCGTATGGCATATTTCCACCGACAATTTCTAGGAGTCCCTCGACCGGCGGAGTCTGACGAGGTAAGTTCGGACATGAAGTAATTAATTGCAGATGTGATGCTTATTTGCCTAGGATTGGAAGATATCGCCCATTCTCGCACCGAACTTCCAGAACTTGGCCCCTGCGTTGGTGTCTACGGCGGAATTGGACCCGCTGCGTGATGAAGGAGAGGCGTATGCAGCCAAGCTTCAAGCAGCTGGGGTATCTGTAGATGTAGACCGAATTGCAGGTGCTCCGCATTTGGTCGCGGCACTCGATGGAATTCTAGAGGGAGGTCAGCGATACAACGAGAAGGTGATTGCGACAATGAAGCGGCAGCTTCAAGGGATGAGAGTTCAACCCGTAAACCAATAAATACCGTAGTAGCAAACAGAATGTTACCAAATATTACCGAAAATTACCAACATCACTGCAGAACAACCCGTCTCCATTCGGTCCTGCCGATACCGGGAAATTTCGGCTGGGGACTCGGAGAGTCGAGCTGACCTCAAATTGAGACTTTTCTTTAAAGAGACCAATCCTCGATTTCACTTCCCATAGAAGCTTCAGGAGCTTGTTGTGAGCCTTGTATATCCTCTTTGGTACATTTACAAACTCAATTGTCACACAATGAATCCAACTTCCTCGCGAGCCGCGGTGCGCTCTATGGCCACCCTGACACATGCGGCCAGAGCCACCCCCGCAGCTCGCAGCGTTTTGTCGCCCTTTGCTACCCGGTCTCTGAGCTCTAATACCCGTCAATTCGCTCAGTTCCCCCGCCTTCAATCTTTGAACACTTTCTCCAACAAGCGAGCCTTTGGAACTACCGTCAGAATGGTATGCTGTTTCGAGACCGCGGTGGACAAACAAATCCAGACAAACTGACTTGTGTGATCTAGTCTGTTGACGCTCGTATTGAGAGCGATGCCTTCGGTGAAATCCAGGTGAGTATATATTGACGCAGCGACGTTGCCGCACTGAGCTAATGGTTTTCTCAATAGGTCCCTGGAGACAAGTACTGGGGCGCGCAGACCCAGCGGTAAGACGCCCCGTCAAATCGATACGTTACAATGGGAAAAAGGAACAAGGTCGCTGATGGATACAGCTCCCTGGGCAACTTCGACATCAACCAGCCGCAGGACCGCATGCCCGCCCCGGTGATCAAGGCCTTCGGTATCCTGAAGGGTGCTGCTGCTGAAGTGAACATGAAGTATGGCCTTGGTATGTGACTGTTGCGGAAATTGGATGTCGCTAGGTTATTGACTTGCATAAGACCCCAAGATTGGTGAGGCTATCAAGCAGGCCGCCGCTGAGGTTGCCGAGGGTAAGCTGCTGGACCACTTCCCCTTAGTCGTCTGGCAGACCGGTTCCGGCACCCAGTCCAACATGAACTCCAACGAGGTCATCTCCAACCGTGCTATTGAGATCCTCGGTGGTACAATGGGCTCCAAGAAGCCCGTCCACCCCAACGACCACGTTAACATGTCCGCCTCCTCTAACGACTCCTTCCCCACCGTCATGCACATCGCTGCCGTTGTCGAGATCGAACAGTCCCTTCTGCCTTCGCTCAGGGGCCTTCGCGACGCCCTCCAGGTGAAGGTCGACAAATTCGAGCACATTATCAAGATTGGCCGTACTCACTTGCAGGACGCCACTCCCCTCACTCTTGGCCAGGAGTTCTCTGGCTACGTCGCCCAGCTTGACCGTAACATCGAGCGTGTCCAGGCTTCTCTCCCCCACCTGCGCTTCTTGGCCCAGGGTGGTACCGCTGTCGGCACTGGTCTCAACACCTTCAAGGGCTTCGACGAGGCTGTCGCTGCTGAGATCACCAAGCTGACCGGCACCGAGTTCAAGACCGCCCCCAACAAATTCGAGGTTCTGGCTGCCCACGATGCCATCATCGAAGCCTCCGGCTCCCTCAACACTCTGGCTGCCTCCCTCTTCAAGATCGCCCAGGATGTGCGCTACCTGGGTTCCGGCCCTCGCTGCGGCCTGGGCGAGCTGAGCCTGCCCGAGAACGAGCCCGGCTCTTCTATCATGCCCGGAAAGGTCAACCCCACCCAGTGCGAGTCCCTCACCATGGTCTGCTCTCAGGTAATGGGTAACCACGTCGCTGCCACCATCGGCGGCATGAACGGCCAGTTCGAGCTTAACGTCTTCAAGCCCGTGATGATCTCCAACCTGCTCCACAGCGTGCGCATCCTCTCTGATGGCATGAACAGCTTCCGTTCCCACCTTGTCGAGGGTCTGGAGGCTAACGAGGGACGGATTAACTCCCTTCTCAACGAGAGGTATGCGCTTAAATCCCCCCTTACTTTTGATGGCAAATTCTAATTGTATGATAGTCTGATGCTCGTGACTTGCCTGAACCCTGTCATTGGTTACGACATGGCATCCAAGGTGGCCAAGAACGCTCACAAGAAGAGCCTTACTCTGAAGGAGAGCGCTATGGAGCTCAAGGCTCTCACCTCGGAGGAGTTCGACCAGTATGTCCGCCCCGAGCTGATGCTGGCTCCCAAGGAGTTGAAGTAAATGAACAGCAATGCTGTCCTGTGATATTATAGACCATTTCCCATAGCATGTGTACAATGAAAAGAATTATATGTTTAATCACCTTGTGTTGGGATGATATAAATATGGTTTTTGTACGTAGATCTTGACTTCTTTTGGAGTTATAAATAGCATCTTCGATAGCAAAGCCGATCGAGAACACTAGTGAATCGGAGTTGCCCAGATCATTTTAATACATATGTATATGCGCACACGTACATGTCAATAGACTTGGAAATTTTCAATGCAGAAATAAGCAGACTATGCTTAGAAAAAAAAAAAAAATAAAA